AAACAGATAAAGTGCACAGGCACAACAGATAAGAACAGACATTTCCTAATACTAAAATTTAAACATTCAATTTCACAACAGACAATAAAATATAAAATATATAAAAAATGGTAGTGCAAAAAGGCAGCCCCATCTTAGTTAGCCACCATCTCTCCTTTGCTCCCCTTTGCATGTCCACATGTGCATGAAGTGTGCATTTCAGCGTGTGTGTGTATCAATAAAGTAGTTCTATATATGAAGTAGTAAAGTTCTTCTTCTTCACACCGGGCAGTAGGGGGCGGTATAATCTTACACCCACTAACACAAACCGAAGAAGAAAGAAGGGGGGGGGGCAAACTAAAGGGGCGGGGTTTTGTTGGAGGCAAAAACCCTGAGAGGGGCTTTCGTTGTGTGTGGTTACAACCAAAGACCGCAATATAAACGTGATTGCATTTAACTGTGAGCAGGACAGACATACCGAGTGGAGGTAAACACACAAGCACGACGAGAAACACTGAACGTTAACTTCTTGCATGAGTGATAGCCTGCTAGCTGCTAGCTGCCGTTAGCTCGTCTGTGTTGAAACTTACGCTCCTTTTTCTACTTACGTTATTAAACGTTAGTGTTAGCGCCAAAACTGACGGCGTTTGCGCTCTTATTTAACATTTCTGCACTCTGCCTTTCTTCTTAATGCGGTTACGGACGTTAATGTGTTCTATTTGTGGCGAGGCAGACTTGTTTGTGGAGAGCTGCTGGCTAACTAAGTCCATTGTAGTTAGCCACAGCTGGCTAGCTTCTTTCTTACTTGGGGTTTTGAGCTTTCCTCCATGTTCTTTTCTCTCGGATTCATCTATCATGTTGACAGCTGGCCTGCTATTGAAAACGCCACAATGCGCCTGCTTGCCGTGATTTTTAGTGGCATTGTGTTAACGTTAATTAAAGCTATTGTATGTGCAGGGATGTAGCAAGCTGTGATTTATGGGCCCTGTGGAAGAATAACCCTCAAAACAATCCGAGTACTGGAAATGTTTCGGCTGTTCTCCAGCAGTGCTACCTCAGAAGCTGTCTTCCTATTAATGCCAGCAGTATCTGTTAGACATTTTAAACCTGCTGAGTTGACACAGATTTATGTGTCAGCTAGTAACTGATGATTTAAGTTTTCATGTGTAAATGTATTTCATTATTTTGTGTGGAGTGCCAAATTGCATGCTCAACAAGTCCTCATGCTGAGATATTTACAGCTAAGAAGTTTTGCAATTAATAGAGATATATGTTTTGGATACCAGAGTAACATTTAGTCAACTATTTGTGTCTTCTGTGTTTTGAGCAGCAAACATGGATGCAGGTGAAGACCAAAACACAGGCACTACTAATGGAAATCCTCAGGCAAGCGGGAACTCTCGTGCACCCCAGATAGCCCACATGTCTCTATACGAGAGACAGGCTGTACAGGTGTGTATAGTGTTTGTGTGCTTAAATTTTGAACTGACTAATAATACATACATATAAAGACTTTTGGATTAGTCTTAACAGTGTTTGTTTGTTTGTTCAGGCTCTTCAAGCACTTCAAAGACAGCCAAATGCAGCTCAGTACTTCCAACAACTCATGCTGCAGCAACAGATCAGTAGTGCCCAACTCCACAACTTGGCCGCTGTGCAACAGGTAACCAGAATAATGACAGCAAAATGTAGTCAGTGCAAAAATATGGGAAGCAGTAGCATCACACGTTTTAATTTGTTCTCTCTTTAAACCAGGCCACACTTGCAGCTAGTCGTCAGTCCAATACCCCAAGTAACAGCATGTCCCAGGTGCCGACCACAGTGAGTGTTGTATGTATTTTATTAATGTTTTATGAATTACACAGCTAGGTTTGGAAATACCAAGGTAGGTTGGATAGAAATGTCAAATGTTCTGTTCCTCCCAGGTCAACTTAAGCACCACATCTGGAGGAGGTACCATGACCAACCCCCGTCCCCACGGCCCGGCCACTTCTGCAACGACAACAGCTCTCAACCAGTCAGTGTTGCTGGGTGGAAACTCTGCAGGACAGGGACAAATGTATCTTAGGGTGAGTTAAAAATTATTGTGAATATTATAATATATATTGCCGTTGTCTGTGCAAGTACAGCAGCAACAAAAGTAAAAACTAATTCATTAGACTCCACCTACAGAAAATCCTATAGCTATACTTCACAATCTCTTGAAAGTGCTTTATTTTTTTAAATGTACACCAAACATGTTTTATTAAGTATTCCATGTAGTTAAGGACTCATTCGTTGAAACATTTGCTGTTTACAAGGTTGACCCATATTTCTTGCTCCTCCCATAGGTCAACCGCTCTCTCAGGGCTCCCCTTGCCTCTCAGCTCATCTTCATGCCTGGTGGTACAGCAACAGCTACTGTAGCAACTGTTGCCCAGACACAGCCCCAGCAGCAACAGCAACAGCAGAACAACAAACAACAACAACAACCAGACAGCAACAACAAGCAACAACAACAGGACAACAACAGCAGCAGCAGCAGCAGCAGCAGCATGAAGTTGCTCCTACCACTGCTAGTGCCCAGTGTGACAATGATCAGGTTCGAGGACCATTACCTACCTGTAATGTAAAGTCTGAGCTACAAGTCATACAGTCTTAAATATTTTCACTACTTGACTCCACCAAGCACACACCTGCTACTTTTCTCAAATGCATTTCACTACAGCCTTCTTTCTTTATCATACAGGTGCAGAATCTGGCCCTACACTGCGCTCCCAGAGCAGTGGCTGTCAAGTCTGAGCTCCCAGAGAGGAAAGATATTGCCAGCTTTCCTCTCGGTCAACAGCAGCAGCAGACATTTGCCCAGACAGCTCAGCAGCAGCAAGTGCAACCACAACAGCAACAACAAATGGCCAAACCCAACTTTGCTCAGCAGTCCACTGCTAACACTATGACTGTAAAGACTGGAAACCAGGCTGCCATGACTGTTACTCCTGCTGCTTCTGTAGCTCCTTCCTCCACCTCCTCTACAGCACTCCCTCTCTCCCAGCTTCTCCTGTCCTCCTCTGCTGCCCCTGTGATCCTGGTGCCCACCTCAAATGTTCCTACCACAACCCAGGGCTACCCCATTGGCTCAGTGACTCCAAAAGCCAACGTTAACACTCAGACTCTGGTGGTGCAGCCCCTACAACAGGCCAGCACTACTGCAGACAAAGGTCCTGTGCCGATCCAGCCCAAGACAGCTCAGGGACACCGCTTACCTATGCAGCTACCCCCTAGACACCCACCTCCCATTCTCCCAGCGCCACCTAGCAACAACCAGGCTACAACTGGGGGGTATAACACTCCCCACATCCCTGTGCAGCTTGTGGGAGCCAGGCAAGGCTTAGCAGGAAACGCACAGGCTGTGGCTCTGGCACAGGTACGGAGCAACACCACCCAGGAAAGTACAGCCAGTGGGAATGTCAGTGCAGTTTCCAACAGTGCTATGGTAAGATCAACCATTAAAAGAATGTACTTTGTGATGCTGACTCTTAGGTGTAAGGATGACTATCAGTGTACAAGGGATTATAACAGTTTATCCTGCTCTTTTTCTACATACCATTAGATAAAGCCTGCCATTGGTTCTCTGAAGAGAAAGTCTGACTGTGATGCACCAAATGAGATGGTGACAGAATCTTCAAACTCTGCACACATGAAAGATTCTGCTCCTCCCTTATCCCCTGCCCCTGCAAAGGACTCAGGTATGTCAATTTGTTGTCTCCAAATGAAGCATTGTAAGAAGTACTTGAAATTGTAACTGTAAGCCTACAAAATCTGTTTGAAAGCTCATTATTTTATTTTCATCCCTACTAGCCCCCCTTGCAACTGCCTTCTCATCTCCCCCCACCCTGTCCTTGCCTCTGCCCTTGTCAAGAGTTGGACTTGGGGACAAAGACAGAGCCCCAGTTCCCCAGGCAGTGGTCAAACCTCAAGTCCTCACCCACCTCATTGAGGGCTTTGTGATCCAGGAGGGAGCTGAGCCCTTCCCTGTAAGTGTGCCCTGCTATGATAACACAGATTTCACCTTAAATCAAATACAATTTGAAATACACTGGCTATGCACTTCTATGTGTGAAACACGTTCTTACTACCAGGCTTATATTATATATATGACAGGTTGCTGGACTCCTCAAAGACAGAGATTTTGCCCTGGTTGGCCGCTCAGAGAACGGACCTCCATGTAAGTGCTCGAATAACTTTTATTTTTTAACAATGATACCATGAATCTGTGTGCACGGTCAATATTTCCTAAATGTGTAACAGTTTTATTCTTTCCTCTTCAGTGTTAAAGTGTGAGTACTGTGGAAGCCTCGCCCCGGCCAGCCAGTTCAGAGGATCAAAGAGGTTCTGTTCAAATACTTGTGCTAAGAGGTACGGTTTACTTTAGCTTCCCATTTTGGAATTGCTTCTAGTTTGGTTTGTTGTTTGGTAATGCCGTACATTTACTACCCGGAAGCAACATTTTATTTGCCCCGGGCAAGCGGGAAATCGTTGTTGTCCCGCTTAAATAAACATAAGCAGAAGGACACAAGCCAAAGACTGTACTAGGGGTTGCCACTGATTAAACCTAATTAGCACATTGTGCAAATTGGCATGAAGTAAAAACTGCAAGATAGATGCACATAGGAGAATTGAAAACCCTCGAAATGTCTTCCTGTATAATAACTGTGCTCCTGGATCCACAGGTATAATGTGAGCTGCAGCCAACACTTCAAGACAAGCAGAGGGAGAAGTGGCGCAGGCCTGGCACCGCCTCCAGCACCCAGTGAGAGCGCTGCCAGGAGAAGGGGCCCCTCTCGCAGGAGCAGTTCTAATAACACCTGTAATAAAATATCAAACAGACATCTAGCTGTCAAGGTAAGAGTAGTTTTAAGACACAAATCCCATTTTTAAAAAAAAAAAAAATCAAAACCAACAATAAATTCATCCTAACAAGTATTACCAGTGTACGTTAATTCTGATGTGGAAATTGTTTTTCAAAAACTACACATCAGAAAGAAAGTATTGAGTCACACTTTGGTTTCCTTTGAGCGTTTCATGGAATTTGTTGATAGTAAGAAAAATATAGAACATTTCCAGCTTCATGCTTTATATCATATTGTTACATTATCAACAAATACAGCTCACTTTCTGAAGTTTTATTGTTGACTTTTGTATTTAAATCTCCACTCATTTGGGACATAGTGTCACTCTGAGTCCAGCCGCTCGGAGGACGTATCCAGCGATGGGGAAGGAGAGGAGGACGATTCTCCCTCACTGTCCCCGAGCTCTTCACACTCCTGCTCCAGAGCTGGGCACAGCGCTCCTCCGTCAGACAGCTCAGCTCCTGGAAGCCTCCCACTAGAGGGGGCTAACTTTCTCTCTGCAACTCCTGCTCAGTGGAGCGTGGAAGAAGTCTGCAGGTTTATCTCTTCACTTCAAGGTGGGTGTTGTTCAGTGATGAGATAGCAGTGATGTTGTAAGTGTTGCCATGTCTCCTGTTCTCTTTTTGTACTAATTCTATTATCTGGTCTTGTGTACAGGCTGTGAGGAGTTGGCTGCCCAGTTCCTGTCACAGGAAATAGACGGGCAGGCTCTGTTGCTTCTGCGAGAGGACCATCTCATCTCCACCATGAACATCAAGCTCGGCCCAGCTCTCAAGATCTGTGCCTCTATCAACACCCTGCGTGAGTGATGCAGTCAGTGCTTCAGAGGGACAGCAGGATCCTTTTCTAACTGATGATTTCTCACTGGAATCAATATCTGGACTTGCTCCTCTTTAGAAAGAAGAAACTAAGATCTATGGCAAGGTGGGAAAATAACTTTTTGAAATGTGAACATCTTCCAGCCACTGACAGATAAATGTTTAAAATCACCAGCCACTCAATAGTCAATCATTGTGAAATCTCTACCAGCCACTTTCATATTTTACCAGCATGTGGCTGGTGCTGATTTCCCACTCTGGAGGGACAATAGATAGTTTTTACAAAACAGTGGTGCACCATCAATCATATGGAGACGGACAGTTTACTTTCTGGACATTGAATGTGCAAAAACATGTATGTATACTGTTATGTGTGAGTGGTGAGCATGGACAGTATCATGGAGAAGTATCCATGTCAGTAGTGTTTGTCAGTTTTTTTTTTTTTCTGTCGCTGTGTAGAGGCCTTTTTGTATGTATTCTCTTGTGAAACTGTGCAAATCTGCCAGTCTGCAGTAATCGGTGCTAGGTCTTCTAGCTAGGACAGTTTACCTGTTGGGTATAAAAAACAAAACAAAAAAAGAAACGTTGCCTTCTTGCTGTATTTCAAAGGGTGCTTTAACTTTAGTGATATATGATTTGAAGTGATGTCAAAAACAGTCCACTTCACTTTAAAGGAAACAGTTCATCCCAAAATCAAAAATACACATTTTTCTCTCTTACCTGCAATATCTTTTTCTAGAAATCAGGACCCAGTTACTCAAGATGATGTACAGACCTTGTTGTGAGCAGTTTGTTTTGGCGCTTTGAGTTCCATTATATTTGAATGAAGGTAGATAGATATCTGACTGATATCTCCAAAACTCAGCAACTCACACCAAAACAATCTTGTTGGATAAATAGTACTACAGATAAGAGGAAAAATATGTATTTTCAATTTTTCTGTGAACTGCCCCTTTAAATATTTCAGTCTTTTAGTATTAGTTATTTTATCATAGATGTTCAATCCAGGCTCCAATCACATCGAGCAAAGGACACTCAAAAAGCCTGGTTTATTTTAATTAGTTACTTTTACCAGTTATTAAAAGTTTTAGTTTTGTATCTTTTCCATTTTGTACTACAATCAAAATTATTTTTTCATGAATACGATATAGTTTTAGTAGCTTTAATCAACTTAACTACCTGAAAATAGGTATTCCTCATGGTTTGGTCTCTCAAGGGCTGAGTGGAAGTTTTCTGTGTACATGTATGCAGTACTACCAATAAACAATACCTGTTACTGGACATGTGTGTGCTTTTATTACCCCCATGACACCCACTTGAAAATGGGAAAAGATTATTGTAGGACCTGTGATATTTTCATTCACATTTGAGTTTGTGTAAACAGCTCAGAGAAAACATTGGGCGCTATAATAGCATAAATACATTTATGTACCCTTCATTTCCATAATTCTGCCTAATATAGAATCATACAAAAACACAGTAATAACATATTACATCTGTTAATATACATTTTCTTCAGATTGTAAACAATATTTGTAAACCATCATATATTGACAGTATCGACTACAAGTTCATGATGCAGCAGCTGTACTTCGGTCAAGTTTACATTTCTTAAAGTGTACTACTTCAAAATTTCCCCTTGTATCTCCCCAATTAAACCTCAAAGGAATAGAAATAGCCTATACAGACAAGGACACACACGAATGAGGTCTTAGATGAAAATTAATGGCTTCCAAAGATAAACAACTCATTTTGCATACCATTTTTCTCATTTACTGAAGTAGGATAATACATAACAAAACAATTGTGGGTCCCAAAGTTCTCATAAACAGAGTTTGAAACACTTTTATTGCACCTAAAATATATTTTTTGTACAAGTGCATCTTTGGGGTACCACTGGGGAGAATAGTGCAGTTTATTTTGCTGGCACGGGCACTGATCAGAAAACGGTGTAGCTGTTGGTTTCCCCATATCCTGCCTGCTGCAGGTACTGCTCAATGTTAACTGTCCCTGACACCTTGAGGACTTTTTCAGAGGCACTTTTCTCTCCTGAGAGGAGCTTTCGGCTCACTTCATCCAGAGAGGGTCGATCTTGATCCTTCCACTGGCAACAACCCTTAATGATGGAGTATCTGAGGGAGAGAGAAAATAGTCTGAGCTTAACAGCACATTTGTTAAAGAGAGAAGCTCTGCTTCAGGTTTGGTTGTGTGTTATCTGCAGAATGCAGCGAATACTTACAGCGCGTTGGAACAGTTTGAAGGTTTTTTCAGATTTTTCCCTCGTTGATGAAACTGCAGAAGCTCATTAACTGAGATGTCTGCAAACGGAGCATCACCTTGAGAAAAAAAATAATAGATATGGATAAAATCCTCTATCAAGGTATACTTTATGTACTGTTACATTGCGATATCAATATACAGCATATTGTGCTATATAGTACATTTTCTGCAAAATCAATAGCGAAACTGTTATTAAATAGCCAGATGGACATGTCTGTTTTTGGCTCATTGAGAAATACAGATTAGGTACTTAATCACATATTAAAATTCAATATTCCTATAAAGAAGTCCTGTTTATGGGTTTGCAATAATGCCTACAATTGTCTAACACCACCAGGGATTTAATAATCCCTATAGTAATAGATAACGCAGTATAAATGATATGGGAACATTTTGTCCATTTCTCCATTATGCATGAACTATGTTCCCAGAAGTTAAAGTTCAACTTACCCAATGTTGCCATTTCATACAGTAAGATGCCAAAGGACCAGCTAGAAAGGGGACACACAGAGGCAAATACTGAATAGAGTCTTCTATTCAGTAAATGGTGTATATACCTACATAATATACTTACACAACATGCATTTCATGCCTCTCTGCAGATAAGCTAGTAGCAACATTTAATAAGTCATTAGTTTTTTTATGCTGCAGCAACGTCTGCATTGGAACAGAAAAACTCACATGTCGCTGCTCTGACCAGCTGGTCTCTTGGCTAACAGCTCTGGTGCCTGCCATTTCTTCATGCTGGGATCATCTTTCTGAGTGGCTCCCTGGTTCTTCCTTGTGTAGACCCCATGCAGACCCCAAAGCTTGGCTGTGAACTCCTTGGTGACCAGTACGCTACGGGCACGAATGTTTCCGTGGAGAAGATCTTTGCTGTGAAGGAACTCCTGATTGGGCAAAAAACAAGGATTAAACACAGAAACCTGATTGATTTCAGTTCAGTCAGTCATCTATGATTACATGACATAAATATGTGCATGGGTTTCACCCCAGGTAAACTTTACCTGCTAACATTGTCATGTTAACATCAGACTGTTAACATGCTGATTAGAGCATTTAGTACCACTGTGCAAACTAACAGACCCCAGAGCTGCCAGCATGAGTGTAAACTATATATGTAAATGATATTGATAGATAAAGAAATGAGACAATGATACAAAAAAAAGAAAATTGGATTAATTTTTTGGATTGTCTGGATTATTGTCAGGAAACCCAGTCAACAAGTCAATGCTGAGATTGGGTCAGGACAGGGTTATTGTATGTCAGTGATTAGAAAGTCAAACGTGTGCTCTAAAAAAGGTGAGGACATATTTATTAGCATACTAACCAGTGCTGAGGCCACCTGTTTGGCCATAGAGAATATTCTTCTCTCAGTCATCTCACATGGAGGATCCACCTTTTCCTGACAAGAACAAGAAGAGAAGTTATTTTGCCATTTGGAAGATGACACAATCATTACTTTCCTACTTTATGAGTGTTTTTCTTTCTTTAAATACATGATTTGTATGGCTTGGATTGAGTTAACACATATTGTAGCAGTGTACCCTCCGTAAAAATATACCTGTCTGCATCGCCACAGAAAGCTGAGCATGTCTCTGTTCTCCAGCTCTTCCACAACTGTAACCAGAGGAGCTCGAAGTGAGACCACACCAAGAAGCTCTGGCAGGAAGGGATGTGGTCCCAGCTGAGCCAAGAAGGATGCAAATCCCAGGAAGTTGTGTCTTTCTGTGGCATCAGCAGAGTCTGTAAAGGGCCAGAATGAGAGGAAGATGAAGGAACACTGCAGTTACAGAAACCATATAATGAAAATCAGATGAGAAAGACCTGCAAATGAGACAATTAAGCACTTTTCTCAACAACCACAAACAAACTCCCAGTAAATTCAAGTTCCTCACCATTTAGAACTCGCAGCACCACATTCCTGTTTTCCATGCGTGCCCTGTAGAGGGACACAGAGGAGTCGGAGCGCAGGGAGAAGGAAGTAGGCAGAGGGGAGACCAGATTGAAGGACTCGGGCAGCCTCTGGCGGGGCAGCTCTCTGGCCTGGACAATGGGAGTGAAACTGGGTTGGTGAGTGAAGGGCTGCGGTGGGGGGCTGGGTGGGAAAGAAGGTGTGGCCACAGGCATGGAGAGGTTTTTGGAGGGGTAAGTGTTCGGGGGGTGGAAGGTGGAGTAGGAACTGGGCATGTCCAGAGCAATGCTTTCATGTTCCAGGACATTGATACCTGGTGGAGCTGTTAGAGTTAGGGGAGAGAGGGAGAACAAGAATAATTATCATAGAGATAAGTGCAAACAGTACATACGTCAATAGAACTATTTATCTTTGTGTAGCTGAACTAAAACTTAGATATGAAGAGAGATTATTGATCTGACTGATGGAAAGAACAAGACAAAACCTATTTCCTTCCATAAATACCAGTAAAAAAAGAGAAAGTCATACAT